ACAGCTCGATAACAAAAACGGAAAATTGCCTAAATGCTAAGTTTGGTGGTGAAAACTCTGAAAACTCGTGTCCCAGCTTCTGCCCTACGCCTCCTCCTTATATAATCCTCCTTAGGCGGTTTTAGTCTTTCCATTTTGCTCGAAACCGAATATTTCGGGAACTTTCCATATCTGCCGATCCTTCCTTTTCTTCTGCGGAAATCTTCTATTTATCTTCAAACTTGCCTTTTATCTTCCGTCTGCGAGTAGACCGTCAAAGCGTTATCGTATCTTTGGGTTTGATTTCGTTAACGTCGCGAGATAGGTTTTTATCGTGTTTTAGGACCTTTCGGGCCGTTTTACGATAAAAACCGTTTTACGACTTTAACGAGACCATTTCTCGATCCGATGCCGTTTTTTTACGATTCTCTCGACGTTTTTTTATTAAAAATGCGTTTTTAACGAAGAATCTCGGATAAATCGTATAGTTTAGGCAATGTTAGGTGTTTGATTAACCGTTACCGTTTTATACGATTTCTTCGAGTTCTTTTCGGGAAAACGGAGTTTTACGGTTTTTATCGTAAAACTCGAACGATAGGATGGATCGAGATGAAACGGGAGACATTTCGACCGTGATTCGGAATACAATCGTGTCGAAGGACGTATGCCTTGAATCAAGGATGTGGGAGATCGAGGCTCGGGATGGTCGGCTCGACGTACGGCGAGCTAGTTCAGCTTGGCTAGGTCGCCATATGGCGAACTAGGCGAAAAGAACCAGTGGGGCAAAGTCAGCACCTCTTAGTTCGCCCAATGGCGATCTAGCCGGGACGGGACTAGTTCTCCCACCGGCGAACTAAGCCGAGCTGACTTAGTTCGCCCGTGGGCGAACTAGTCGGGACGGGACTAGTTCGCCCACCGGCGAACTAGTCATGGGCCTCCTAGTTCGCCCATCTGCGAACTAAGCCACCTTGGCTTAGTTCGCCGGTGGGCAAACTAGTTGCGACTAGTTCGCGTTTTACGGCTGTTTCAGTTTTTCGCGGTTTTGTAAAACGATCTTCGAGTTTTATAAAACGATCTTCGAGTTTTATAAAACGGCTTCTTGAGTTTTATAAAACGGCTTTTCGAGTTTTATAAAACGATCTTTGAGTTTTATAAAACGGCTTCTCGAGTTTTATAAAACGATCTTCGAGTTTTATAAAACGGTTTCTCGAGTTTTATAAAAAGATCTTCGAGTTTTATAAAACGATCTTCGAGTTTTATAAAACGGATTCTCGAGTTTTATAAAACGATCTTCGAGTTTTATAAAAACGGCTTCTCGAGTTTTATAAAACGATCTTCGAGTTTTATAAAACGGCTTCTCGAGTTTTATAAAAAGATCTTCGAATTTTATAAAACGATCTTCGAGTTTAATAAAATGGCTTCTCGAGTTTCATAAAACGATCTTCGAGTTTTATAAAACAGCTTCTCGAGTTTTATAAAACGGCTTCTCGAATTTTATAAAATGATTCTCGGGTTTTATAAAACGATCTTCGAGTAAGACGATTCTTCGAGTTTTATAAAACGATTCTTTGAGTTTTATAAAACGATTCTCGAGTTTTATAAAACTGCTTCTCGAGTTTTATAAAATGATCTTCGAGTTTTATAAAACGATCTTCGAGTTCTATAAAATGGCTTCTCGAGTTTTATAAAACGATCTTCGAGTTTTATAAAACGATCTTCGAGTTTTATAAAACGGCTTCTCGAGTTTTATAAAATGATCCTCGAGTTTTATAAAACGATCTTCGGGTTTTATAAAACGGCTTCTCGAGTTTTATAAAATGATCCTCGAGTTTTATAAAATGATTCTTCGAGTTTTATAAAACGATTCTTCGAGTTTTATAAAACGATTCTCGAGTTTTATAAAACGATCCTCGAGTTTTATAAAACGATTCTCGAGTTCTATAAAACGATCCTCGGGTTTTATAAAACGATTCTCGAGTTTTATAAAACGATCCTCGAGTTTTATAAAACGATCCTCGAGTTTTATAAAACAATTCTTTGGGTTTTATAAAACGATTCCTTTTATATTTCTGCGGGGAGTTTCGGCCGTTGATTCCGTCGAACCGATTTTGACCCCAACATTCACTAGTGCAATAAAAGGCTAGAATCACTCGGTATGCTGATCTCTAATATCCTCGTGTATAAAAACAGTGTACACTGGAGTATTCTCTACAGTGTACACGCCGATGTACACACTCCTATGTACACCTCTAGTGTACACTTCTGGCGTACACTTCCCGGTGTACATAGTGATTACATATAAAATTTACAAATAAATATACAAACAAATATACTCATACTGAACAACGTCAGCCATTATGTTGATGGCCCAATCAAGAAGATAAGCTTCCGTTGGTGGAAGAAGGTTAACAAGCTCGACGTATTCCTCTTCTGTTTGGCATTGCATGACTTTCTCAGGTGACAAGACATCAAGAACGCTTGTAGGGAGTTCTCTAAACCATGCCTTGATAAGCCCTGCTAAACAATGAACATCGATTCTCTCTGGTATGAATCCTCTGTTTACTTGCTCTGTCACTGCTTGTTCTTCACTGTTCTCAGCAGTGAGTCTAAAGATTCCCTCTGCCTACAAGCCTCCTTGGCCGTATAAGCAGTTTTGCATCAACAAGAGTGTGGTTGGTACACAATTTCCTCTTGAATCATATGATAATTGCATTGATTCATTTGATACTCCAAAGACTGTTGCACTAATGTGATGAGATAGCAAAAAACAGGTAAGTGATGAGAACTATATATTTACCAGATAAAGCATGTAAATAGAGAACAATGCAACCGTTTCATAATTTAACTTCAACCGATAGAGATATGATAGTAACTATAGAGCTACCGGTTAAATGTTATTAAAGAAGGAATCAATTTCTGAGATGCATTCATATGAGTCAATAAGTGTTTACTTTCCGCAGAAACAAACAAGCTCTAAGCTTCTGAAGATATTTAAAACCGTAAGAGACAAAAAATGTGCTCTATGCACTTCTTAAGCTATTTATCATTTTTTTTTGTTTTACTAATTAGACATAAACACTTAACTTGTATGCAATATAGCATTGATCAGAGAGTACTGCATATCCATCTACAGCTACTACTCCACATGATACCAACCAATATGCAAGATAAGATTGGATTCTTGATCATAGTTGAGAGATAAGTCAGAGCAATCTTTTAAAAGAAATTCCATAATCACAATTCTAGTTATGAGCTAAACCATCAAAATTCACAAAAAGTAGTACCTTCTACCAAAATAGAAACCACAAACCCCAATTGCAAGTATCAAAATTGGGAAGCAATCTTTTAAAAGCAATTCCATTATAACAAAATGACTAACCAGAACACACACAGAGAGAAACCTAGAAGAGGGCTAAAAGAAACCCTAATTTGCAAGAATCAAAATTGGGAGAAATCGAAACAAATGTAGTCCCTGGCGCTAGGAGCTCGTCTGGGAATCTAATGTCGTGGTGACGCGCGGAGATTCATGGTGAAGTGTGACGGGCCAAGACGGAGAGATCTGGACACGGCCACGGTTCCAGAGACGCTGCGGCGAAGGAGAAGACTGGGACGGAGGTATCAAGGATCTCCAATGATGTTTCTCCAATGATGTCGATTGATGTTGTCGAGATGCTCCTCGAGGCATCTCCTCTAGAGCCCCTAAATGTCAAAAGGCAATCTCTCATAGACACCCATATAAACATAAAGATAAACATTTATTTAAAAAATCGGAAATGGCTGAAATGACATAAAAACCGTGGAATAGTTGAAGTATTTACAAGTTTTACCAGGGTATAACCCACCGCCCCGACCCAACCCGGCTTTATGGTCAATTCAATTAAACCGAATCGTCTAACCGTCTAACCAATCCCACCAAACCAAACCAATTCCTCGAAACCAAATACAGCCCTCGAAACCGAACCAATCCATCGAAAACAAAACCAAATCTGTCGGTTTTTAATAACTCACTCAATTTAGTTAAACCTCCTCTTGTCGATTTTCTCATTTCGTTTCTAATTTCTCAAACAAACCCTAATTTCGTTCCTCCCCTAAAATCAACCGTGAGAACGAGAGAAGGAGAGAAGAATTCGGAGGATTCAATCGAGTGCGATGGTGGTCGAAACGAGAGGAGGAGGTAAGAGGAAGGATAATCCAACGAAGGAAGAGTCTCGGAAAGTGAAGTTTGCAAAGAAGACGGCGGAGGGCTCCGATAATATCGAGAAGACGACGACGACGGAGAATGTTGACTCGACGACAAAGATAACGGAGACTGTTGAATCAACGGTACAGACGAGGGAGACGAGTAAGGAGTCGACGGAAAATGATAATGAGAATGAAGTTTCTGAAGAAGGAAATGGAGGCTGAGAAGAAAATGATGATGAGAATGAAGTTTCTGAAGAAGGAAATGGAGGTGGAGAAGAAAATGATGATGAGAATGAAGGTTCTGTTGAAGGAAATGGAGGCAGAGAAGAAAAGGATGATGAAAATGAAGGTTCTGAAGAAGGAAATGGAGACGGAGAAGGAAAGGATGATGATAATGAAGATTTTGAAGAAGAAAATGAAGAAGGAAACGAGTTAGCAAATGGAGATAGAGCAGCAAACAAGAATGATAATCCACCATAACCCGAGGTAAGAAATTATCACTTAGGTATACTAGGGGAAGTTGGATATAACTTGGATAACTTGTAGCAAAATTGGTTATAACTTGAAGCAAAATTGGATATAAGTTTAGTATAACTTGGATATAACTTCCGTATAACTAATTTAAAACTTAAGTATAACTAATATAAAACTTTGGTATAATTTGTAGGGTTTGAATGGAAATGTGGGACTCGATATAATCAAACCAACGAGGATGTTCTTCAAGCCCAGTGAATACAACAAAAAATAAAGCTTGGCACAAGGTGTATGATAGCTAGCACGATTGAGACACTAAAAAATATGAAACCCAAGCTGTCTAACGCGGAGTGGAGCTGGTTCACAGAGCATCCCCAATTCAAACACATTTTCCACATGAAGAGTGAGAACAACCATAGGGTTCAGGGAATGTGGATGTTGTTGCTGATATCGAGAGGCCGAGAGAGAGGTGGTATATTGTGAATGGGGTTTCCATCCGTTACGGGCTAAGGGAACATGGTTTGATATCTGGGCTATTCTGCCACAACTATCCTCTCGGCTACAAAGATCTTGGTGGGACGAGGTTCGTTGATCGTCATTTCAACGAAGGAGAACCTAGAAGGTTAGAGGATGTTAAGAAGAAGTTGGTGAACATGGGACCCCACACAGACAGGCTGAAGATGGCTATTCTATTATTCTTAGCTTATGTTGTTTGTGCGCAAACCAAGGTTGGACACAATGCTAATGATGTGTTGGAGGTGTTCCAGAGAGCAGTTGACGATCTTGACTACTGCAAGTCCTTTCCGTGGGGGAGATTTTCATATGATTACATGCTGAAGGAGATCTCTCACACAATGGAGCATTTTGGAGGGGTGGTGAAAGAGAAAACATTATGGCCGCTTCCAAGACTTTGTGTTCCACTAGAGGTATGCAAAATCCCATTAAACCAGTCAGTCGCTATTGTTGTCAACTAATGCAAAATGTTTTGTGGGTAACAGCTTCTTGCATATGAGGCAATTCCTAAGCTAGGAGTTGCATTCAGAGAGCCTGTCGTTGGAGCTTTCCCCGACTGTCCGAGGATGTGCAAGACCTCATTCAAACAAAATGGATCGACAGGGGTGTCACTTGCTGTGATAAACAAGAAATTGGGTAACACAACTATAAGTCTTCCTGTGAAACTGTGGTAGAACTATGGTAGAACTGTGAAACTGTGGTAGATATATGGTAGAGCTGGGAAACTATGGTAGAACTATGGTAGAACTATGGGCGAAGCTTAAAAATTAATTATGTTTGTGGTAGGTTATTGACAGCATCATCCCCACCAGAACTGCACAAGAAGAAAGCTTGTTGAATGAGATTTTGGAAGATGAAGACGACTTTGATGTACCAGATTTAGCTGTGGACAGTTGGGATAAGTGTTTGGATGCAGGTGAAAATATATTTTTCAAATACATGTTCGAGGAAGATGTAGCTGGGCATGCAAAACAGCCAGAACCGATTGAAGATGCAGCAGGAGATGGAGTACAGATAGGTGAGCAGTCGGTTCAACTGGGAGATGTTATGAAGTTGGTGAAAAGAACAATGAAACTGTTGAGGACAGTTGACAAGAAGGTTGACCAGTTGAATGGAAGATTGGACCCGCTTGAGGAGTTTTTCAAGGAAGCACAAGGCAAAGCAGTAGAGGTAGATGAAGCAGAATCACAAGGGAAAGGTAAAAGGCAGAAACGCAAAAAGTCTTTAGGGAAAGTCAAAAAACAGAAAAGCTAAGTGAAGTCGAGTGAAGAACCTATGGTTTTATGTTTAATGTTTTTATTTTGTAGACAAACAAAGTCTTTGGATGTTTATCTAGTTTGTGATGTGGATTTAGAACTTTAACTATGTTATGACTATGTTATGACTATGTTGTTATGACTATTTTGTTAGGTTGTTATTGCTGAACATGAGATCTTTGACAGATTACAAACTTTAAAATGAACATAAGATAAGATTCAAGACTATCTAGAATTATAACATAAGTCTTCGACAGAGTACAAACTTTAAAATGAACATGAGATAAGATTCAAGACTAGCTTGAATTATAACATAAGTTTTGAAATGAAAAGAGACACTTGTACAAGTCTTAACAAACAAAGACTTGTATTAACCGAAATTGGGAAATACATAATTTTTTAGCACATCCATGAATTCAATACTTAGCAATCTCTTGGACGGGAGGTGGAGGTAATAAGCCTCTTAAGCTTAGCAATCTCTTCAGCCATATCATTGACCTCCATCCATAGGCGCCTCATTTCCTCCTCAACACCAAAAGTCCATGGATGACGAAAGTGCATCCCATCGTCCTGCACAGTTTCACCCAGAGTATAACACAGTTTCACACAGTATGACTAAACACAGTTTCACCCAAAGTATAACACAGTTTCACCCAGTATGACTAAACACAGTTTCACCCAGAGTATAACACAGTTTCACCCAGTATGACCAAACACAGTTTCACCCAGAGTATAACTCAGTTTCACCCAGTATGACTAAACACAGTTTCACCCAGAGTATAACACAGTTCCACCCAGTATGACTAACACAGTTTCTACAAAGAAGGAAATTACCTCATAATTCTTGCAGGTGAAGTACCTACTTCCAGGAAAGGTATCAAAATCGTGGCGATACTTAGGATTTGGAGACACATCCGTCTTGATTTCACCATCACATGGGCAACAGGTAGGAATTCCATATTGAGCATCGCAAATGTAACCTAACATGTCATAGTGTTTCTTCAGCTTCTTCATCTCCTTCTCCTCTTCGTACGGATGAGTCATGGTCAGTAAAGGGGAAGGGAAAGAGTAAAATCGTGGATGTAGAGACAATATGAGGATAGAGAGGAAAGATAATGGATTATGAGATGTGTGTGGGAGTGGGAGGACGAGATGAGAGAAAAGAGTACAGAGAGAGATTGCTTGGCTTGGAAGTGACAAAAGTGAGTAGACAGAGCAAAGTTGACGAGACAAGAGGGAGAGTCACGAGAAAGGAAATCTAACTTTGACCGAAGTAATTGAAAATTTTGGAATATTTTCGCTTTGGCGCGAAATTATTTTCCCCTTAAACAAATTTGCTCATAGTTTTACTGAAGTTTCAGGTGTTACCAAATTTCTTCATAGTTCTATTTTTCGTGATTTCAACATTTTTTAGTTTTAAGTATAATTTAAATTTGTGAATAAAGTTTTACTTTTTATTTTTCCACATTATCATGGAAGTATAACTGAGAAGTGCAATAATATTGTTAAAATCACGAGAATTATAGAGTACTACTTTGTAAGCTGCTCTTTATTAAGAAAGTGATCTTGGAAAGACTATATAATGCATTAGATAAAATGTGATATCAATGAATCATGTTAGTTAATATTTGTTATTTTGCAATAGTATTGTCGATGAATGTGATGTTGATGAATTAGTCAAGTGATTGTGCTTGTGCATTAAAAATTATGTGTGTTGGATTAGAGCGGATTATGTCATGTTAATATCTCTTAACTTAGTAACACCTTTATTAACTTAGTAACACCTTGTTTTACTAGTTTTCCGTGGTTTTCCAATACATAGTTGAGAGTTTCCAAACAGAGAAACATAAGTAAACACAGAGAATACATAGGTTCCTAAACCCTTAAACATTTAACTAAACATAGAGATTTTGAAAGTCTCTAACAATTTCCTCTTCTTCTTGAATCCTCTCCAAATTTTTTGTCAGTTTTGCAATGGTTTCGTTTAGCTGTTCGATTACTCTACTCTGCTCTCGGATCTAATCCTGGGCTTCAATCAAAGCCATTTTTTGCCACTCTGTACCATCCTCGACATCAAACCATTTGAAGTATTTGCATACATTTTTCTCCTGCCACAAATTCCATTGTAAATAATCTATTTATCAATCTCAGATCACAATTTCTATCATCAGCTAGGATACCTTATAACGCGGACAGCCATAAAATCGCCACCCAGGGTTCTTGTCTGTCCAAGCTTGTCTTATTTCAGCATCTAAGCGACACAAACACAATTTCCTTCCAGAATTTTGCCTTCTCATAGACGATCCCGAACCATCTCCTTGCATCTTCGAAATTTTCTCCTCAGAATTAGAAGAGTCTCGAGAGAGAGAAGAGAGAGAGAGATATGCGAAGAAAATGCAGTATTTATTTCATTTATTAGAATTTTAAAGAATAAATTCGGGTATATTCAGAAAAAGTTATACTTAGTTATACTTAGTTATACCAATCCGATTAAAAAGCAAAAGCAACACTCCAAGTTTAAAATCCCAAAAACAACACTCCAAGTTCAACATACCAAAAGCAACATACCAAGTTCAACATACCAAAAGCATCATACCAAAAGCTCTAGTTTGGTTCACTTGGATTATTAGTACGCATTCCAAACAACAGCCAACTAAACCCGAAATTTGTCCTCGGACGCCTTACATTTTGTGTCCTTTTACGTCGTTCTCCAACTGATGGATTCATATTAACATTTTTCCTTCCCTTCCTCTCTAGCTTTTTTGGAGGTATGATCTGGAGCTTTTTGATGTGATCTGGTACATTCCATTCAGACTTGTCCGGCACAGAATAAATGGCCATGTAATAAGCCATTGCCCAAAGTTCTGTCCAGTAATACTGTGAGCTCAACTGATGATACTCTATGTGGACCTCACGTCGACGACCATGAGCAGCAGGTACCTCAAGGAAATATAAGTAAGCAGCAAGTCCGTGAAGACAAGGATACTTTTCATAATCATATACCTTGCAGCTACATGTCTTCGCTATCAAGTTCACCAAATAAACCTTCCCATCGTCAATGTCGGTTACCTAGTACTCAAGATCATAACTATTCAGCTTACGAACTGGCGTTTTCTCAGCTTTGCCCCATAAGTTGTGCAAATGGTTCTCAACCAGAGGAACCAGTTTGGTATCAATCGATCCAGACACGGCGTCCTTCCGATGTTCATTAAACCAGTCATAAATCTTTTTGATTATTGTATCCAACATTGGTATCAAGGCATATCTCCTTGCGTCCCTAAATGTGCTATCCATCGACTCCACACTGTTACTAGTGTCCAAGTTGTATCTACAACCTGGAAAATAGACCCCAGCCCATGTTTCTTTGTTAGTGTTCTCCTCCACATATTTGAAGGCTGAAGGATATCTCACCTTAAAAGATCCATAAGCAGCCTCGAACTCATGCACTTTGTAATACCTAGCCAACTCCATAAATCTCCATGCCACTACGGCTTTGATGGTGTTACAAGCATGATTTCTCACATTCTGAGCTAGATGCCATATACAATGGCCATGGTGAGATTGTGGATACACATTTGCTACAGCAGTGATGAGGCTCTGGTTCCTATTGCTCATAAATACTATTTCAGAAGAGTCCGGTATAACAGTTTTGAGCATCTCAAAAAACCAAGTCCAACTAGCATTATTCTCACCGTCGAGTACCCGAATCGCGAGGGGATAATGGTGACGATTAGGATCTTGAGCTTTAGCAAATACTAGTACACCGCCATATCCGTTCTTCAAAAACGTAGCATCCACAAGAATCACTTTCCTCATGAACTTAAACCCTTCAATGCAAGCTCCTAAAGCTATGAAAAGGTACTTGAACTTACCTGCCTCATTCAACTCCACCCTTGTTGTTGTTCCGGAATTAACCTGCTCTAACATGTACAAGTAGCTATACAACATCTTGTTATGTCTTCTGAATTACCACGCAACTCACGCATAGCTAAATTTTCCCCTCTCAAGGCTGTGGAATAGGATACTGATACACCCACTTTTAACTTCATTAATTCCATGATATCTCTCGGAAGAGGAGTCCTCAGTTTTCCAGGATATTTCGCATTCAAAAAATTTGCAACTACTTCTGCAGAGTCTTTCCTCTTGATGTTGCAGCTTTTACTTTGATTAGTCCGAGAGCATGTATGCACACCCCCGTACCTCCTAACAGAAAAAATTTCTGTCTCTGGAATCCTCGCAGCTCGCAATCCCCATTTACAGCTTTCATCACAACATTTTAACACCAACCGTTTACGATCAGATTTTTTAATAACATAACGAAAGCTTTCACCAAATGCAGCTCTATCCACCAACTCTTGAAGTGATCTCTTGTTTGGAAATTCCTGCAGCTTAAATAGACCCAAACCGTCTCCCCATTCCTCTATAACTTGACTACATTTTAGTAAAGGTGGCTGCTCAATATACGTAACTCTCATATTAGTTTCTATATTAGCACTGCTATCCATCTCGGCTGCAGTCTCCGTCTCAGCTGCAGTCTCCGTCTCAGCTGCAGTCTCCGTCTCCGCGGTGTTATCTGTATCCATAAAATCATCATGTGTTGTATCGTCACCACCATTCTCTACATGTATCACCTCCTTCTGTTGATTTGTTTGCCCTTTTTCAACGTACAGAGTTATGGCGTTAGGTCCGACTACATCATCATTTCCACGCAACACTTCGTGATTCATACCAAACAAACTTCCGCCCACTCTCGACAGCTTATCTAACTGATCCGAGTTACTGCCTCTACTCGTCTCCTTCACTAACAAAAGACTTTTACGGTTGTCTTTATCAATGGAAAGAAGGTAACCGAACAAATCATCATCACAAATTGTGCACTCTTTTGATTCTTCACATCCAAACACCATCGGCTTATACCTCAACGCCAGTTTTACATTCCTTTCATCCAACCTCAGCTTTTTATACAACCTTTCTTCTACCATTGCCAAAGTAATAGCCTCCACTGTTGTCTTGATGGTTATACAACATATGCGATCTCTGAATTTGAAATGTAAGCACACGTGTTTCGACATTGCATCCTGCAAAAACAACAAAATAGAGTTATAGTTAGACCAGTTACTCTTTGTTCTACTTAGTTTTAATCAGTTATACTTGTTTTACCTAGTTCTATTTCAACTACAATCAATTGAAATTGAGGTTTCAGGTACTATAAACTCAATATCTCAATCCCATACATTCAACCATATGCTTGCATTGTTTCACATGAGGTAATTGCTCCACATACCAAATCTCATCTCAAATTAATCATATATATATATCCAATTACAAACCCAATCGAGGGAGAGGAGAGGAGAAGAGAAGAGAACCTGCATTCTGGCCTACTACTCTAAGCCTTGCCGGTGGAAATGTTTTCGTCCGGCTGCGTCCTCTTGGAGAATCTACCAACGTCTTCCAAGCCAGGAGGATCCGATAAATCGGGACGACGTCGACGAGAGGAGCTGGGAGCTTTCTATTGATTTCTATTTTTTTCAATTAATTTTATTAATTGATCCACTCCAATCCAATCCAATCAATTCAATTGAAATCCAATTCGATTTCAAAACCGAAACCGAGCTATCCCAAATCCACCTCAACCCAAACAACCTAAACCAGTAACCACACAAATAAACCAATTCGATTTTGTAATATTTTTTTTCGCCCACGAAGGGCATTTTTATCTTTTCATCATGCATTAACTTTAGAGGAGCATAGGCAATTGAGGGAGCCCATAAAGGATTTTTCCTTTCACATTTAAGGGCAATGGAGCATAAACATGTCAACCATGTGAAGAAAGTAAAAAAGAAAGAAGGTTTGTAGTAAGGTCATGATCTTGAGAGACGCCGGAGGAGGAGAAGGGGTCACACACGTGGGAACTTAAAGTTTTTCAGTCGTTTATAAGTATAAAACTAAAGTTATATGGGTCAAAATTTTAAAGTTTATGGGTCAAAAGAGTAAAAATGTCATCAATTATTTATCTCTTTACTAGATATGCAATTATCCAATAAAAACTTGGATCGACCCATTTTCATAATTAAAAACTATTCTAGACACACATCTATAACACATCCCAGCAAGAACGCTTTGTGACCTTTTCATTTCCAACATGTCCCCATGACTCAGAATACAAGTGCATATACACTTGCACCCAGTACACACTTGCACCCAGTACATTTAGACGATCGTCCCATTATTTCCATATGGATACAAAGTCTTCTAATTGGTTAGCAGATTCTTAAATCTGTTTGTGTTGTTTGTAAAATAAAAAATTAGATATTGTATTAATAAAACATTTCGAGTTTTAGAATTTTTGGGTTACTGTTTTGTATGTCTAATAGTCATTAAAATACTTTTATTTACAGAAATCAATAACTAATAGCATACACTTAATTGTAATCGTATATATAAGTATCTAACTTTATTTAGATCGAACAAAACTCCTAAGGTAGAGATCTTAAGAAGAGGACGAGCTCAAGAAGAACCCTACCTACCAAAAAAAGGCCCTGGGGAGCACGCCGACTACTACGACCACATGCGCATCTAGCGCAGTGGAAGCTTACTCGTAGAAAAGAAAGTTGGCACCTACTGGTCTCTTACTAGTCTGCTCTTCTTTGTTCCAGTGAGATATGAAGCACAAATAAATTACCTTACATTATTTCTTAAATGATAGCTTGTGTACAAAAATGTATGGAAAAATTATATTTAAGAAAAAATTGCTTATTTGAATCTATACTATTAAAAGTGAAGGCACCCGAAAAAAATTGACTTATACAAGTTGTGTGCACCTTTCATTAATGGCATTTTCGTCATTTATTTTCGTCCTACATCTATATATATATATATCGAATGTTACAAATCATATCACATTAACCATATACCCGATTTAATCTCTCTCTTCCCATTAATTACTTTAACCATAATTCATTTTATGTTACATACTTTTATTTTATTCGGGTTATATCAACCAGTTTCATTATTTGTAACATGATACCATATGATTTTTAGAAGAGTTACATATTTACATTGTCATTTCGGTATATGTCATATGATTACCAAGATATGATATCAAATGTAGAAAATATAAATATATTTACTAGATTTTGACCCACGCTTGAGAAGCGCAGGTATTATTTTGGTTGTAATCAAATGATTCTATTTTTATTATTTGATAGTTTTATATGTGAAATTTGATGTATATTTAACGTTTTAGTAGGATCTTTTCATTAAGTTTTGCATAATCGAGTCAGTTTGTGATTGAACCGAGAATCAGAAAATTAAGTGTTGTGAG